AAACATACTGGATTTTTTAGCTGGGTAGAATGATACTGCAGCTTTTAGATTTCACATCATTCACAGCCTCTGAAATGGCTTGAAATAACTTTCACAGCGATAAGAAATGAAGAGGTATCACAGAACGGTTTAAGATAAACGAAAGCGCTTAAACAGGTAGGGAAAATACGGTGTGTACGCCGGCAAAGTTCTATTAAAGTCCTGACAAGGTTATGGTGAGATCATCTATCAGGCTAACTTTTGAAACTGAAGAAAAAATCCTATAGAGTTACCATTCAAAAGAAATCCCTTGGATAGTCCTTTTTCGTAACACTATTAATTTAGCGGGCTTTTGCAAAACTAAAACGGAGTTTTCGGTGATTTTTTTTGTTACTGACTTTGCGATAGTCGTTTAAGGAGCTTACGTATAAACAAAGCCATGAACGGAAAACTTTGTAAATGGAGAACAATTTGCTAGAATTATTGGCGCGGTGTGTCCTAACGAAGTCTAAATCTGAATTCTCTAACCCACAGGTTGAAAAAGCACAAGAGTAGCAGAAGAGTAGTCCAGTTCCGTTTGTCTCATCAACAATAGTCCGTCCATCTGAGGATCTTTAAGGGTTTCCTCGAACAGGGGGTCCAGGGATAAAGCGAATCTTCTCGTCCAAGTTATTCAGCTTTTGGGTATTTTGATGCCGGCGAGCTGCGGTTGTCTTTATCAGCATCGGAATGCGAACATCTCCAGCTACGCAAGTTTCCGAGCTCAAGTCACATCTGCATTAAAAAGTCAGCAGTTACAAAGAGCCCGTTCATTACTGCTACAACTACGTATACTGCTACTACTGTACAATAGGAGGCAGTGTGGCCGAGTGGTCAACGCGTCGGACTCGCAATCATGCGGACCTGGGTTCGAGTCCCCCGCTGGCCACTTGCCTGATTTGTTCTCGGTCGTCCCAAGTTCATATCCTCGGCCGCGCTCGTAAAAAGCCGAATGGGTTTCCGCCAGCCAGCTGGGGTTTTTATTTCTATCAGTATGTTCTATGCGTATTATTAGCGTCCAGTTTGAATGGGGTGCCTGTAAACTAGCAGGATAAGCTAAGTGAATTTGCCACAAGAAACAAATCTTTATTAATTAACCTTTTTTTGCTACTTCTGCTGCTTCTGTTAGGTGAGAGCTAACTAAAGCAGCTCAGTTCAAAAAATATCAAAAACTTCATTGTTTTAGCCGCTCCGCCGTCTTAGAAAAGCAAAAGAGAGATTAAGACGGTAAAGACGTTTTTGGGCGATGCACTTCAACCTGAAATGAGGCCTGTTCCATTTTAATATGCCTTAGTGCTACCAAATAGGTATTAAAGGGGCTGTGTCACGGCAGTCCAGTTCATTTTGTTTAATTTTGCCAATTGCTCGCCCTCAATTTCTAAGGAACTTAAAGCAAGCAAAGAAATTACATGTAAATGACAAAATCAGATCCTAGACAAACAAATATGTCTCATGAGCCTTATTTTTAAAGTTGCAAGCAGCAGGGATCAACTTTGAAAAACTGTTAGGCGGAACAGTTTTCAAAAATCCTACTTCAATCCGTTTTAATCTTCTTCCGTTTTGCCCATCCGTGGCATCTGTTGTTTCTGTTATGTTAATTTAACCTTCCTTTAAAGTTTTAAGCGGTTATTTTTGTGTTTCTCTTAATTTAACGAGGCATTTTGTAATTTCCTAATTTGGCTGAATTTCGTGACACAGCTCCTTTAATTAGAAACTTTACTTTTATACGGCGTATTTGACCAAACATGTGGGCAAAACCACTGGCTGATAATTCAAAATGTCCACTTCCGGTTGACGTGAGTCGCTCAAAACGTCTTTGCCTATGCTAGGGCACTCCGAATGCGATCCCAGAATCCATTTCGCTTCTTTAATATATAGATTTAGCCAGGGCTAAGAGCAAAGCTCTCGTTAATACTTATAGTTTACTCAAACAAAATATAAAATTGTGTAATGCAAAGCGGCGACGGCAACGAAAACGGTTAAAATATCGATAGGTGCATGTAATTAGCAAAAAATAACTTTGCACTTGCAGCACACTTTTTTGTATATTTCTTTGCCTTTGTTTTGCACGGCTACATCGTGAAACTTCCAGAAACTTCCTTGTTACACGTTTTATGGAGGAGATATCGCACGTGTTCCTGTTCGCTTTTCTTTTTTTTTTTTTTCACTGCCGCTCACTTTCACCTTGGTGGCCGCTAGCATTCCTCGTTTTCTCACCACCGCTATAAAATTTACAAGTTTTTTTCTCCAACGAAATTGGTCGCCTTTGTTCTTTATCTCTCGCTTTCGCTCTTTCTCTGTTGTCCACGTCAATGTAGACGCTATAATTTAGTCGAAAGAGAAGCCCGGCATTGTTGTTGTTGTAGTGTTTGTCTCTCAAAGTCCGGGTGGCTTCGCGATTTACCGCCGAAACGCTCGGGTACTTGAAATGCGAAATTTCATCCCCGGCTTACATGAATGGGTGGACGTACGTACGTACGTACGTACGCACGATTTTCTCAGAGCCAAAATTTTTTGGATGCATAGATAACCAAATTTTTTTACCCGTTGGTGCTCCGCTGCGCGTGCTTTGCTATCACGACAAAAATATACAGTACTCTGAATCAAAGCGACAAATGCGTTGCCCATGAGTCATCAAAAATTACCAATGATAGAGCAGCAAATTGAGCACGGAACGTGGCATTCCGCATTAATTTCCGCGCGCTTTCGCGACCTCATTTCACATTGCGTTGTCTTCGATAAATTGCCCACTTGTGCAAAAAGCCACCTCTGATACTCTCCCTTGAAAGTATAGGGGCCAAGGTAAAATAAATTAACATTCAATAGTATGATCACCTGTATCCTTCAGGGCAGCAATGTTCCTCGTCACTACAGCAAACAGCTTTTGGAAGCGGACAGCAGCCATAGTGGCCTGTGTCCATCATACAACAAGTCTCATAATCCAGACATTGTGAGCCATCCGGACAGTCCACGTAAGTTTCTGTTAGGACAGAAAAATAACAAACAAACAAAAACGATAAATAGACATTGGTTAACAAGGCAAAAACTTGAGGGTTGGCGCAAATGATTCCCACGTAAACCACAAGTGTGCGGAACGATCATGACCGAAAAATTGCTCAAGAAGAAAAAAAAAAGCTGTGACTGAAGCCTTCAGAACATGACCAATGTGACTGGTAATCGACCAAATGCGCAAAGCCGAAACGTAACTGCTAAATAAATATTTCGTGTTTATCCTGTACCCTAATCGGCAATAGATTCTTAAAGACATCACCAAACCGTCCCCTGCTATTGTAACTCTAATTGGGAAGGGAAAATAGGGTTGAGGCGATTGTGTGAAAACCAGACTTGACATGAAGTTACCTGTGCTGGCTCTGGTAAATGGAATAATTTCTGAGAAGCTGACTTGGTCACCATATCTGTCGCACGTACCTTCAACACAAGAAACAAAGCATGCATAAAGATTTAGTCAATTCTGAATGTAGCACGAGATTTGCAACTGTGAAGTATGACCAAGTGAACGCATCTAGTTTTTTTGCATGTGGACATCAATTGTAGGAAGCGATAGAAAACCTTTAAATGCAGTCTGAACAATATTCGACGTCATTGAAACAACATGCAAGTTTTTTTATGTTACCTTTGTGCAACCGATTAGAATCAATGAAGCGACGATCAGTGTTTTGACCATCTCCACTCTGAGTGAGTTTTGCTTAGAGGAAAATGTAATCCCCCTCCCACTGTCTTGCGTGTATTCTGACGAAAGAACATAGCATCCCCGGTGAAAAATACCTCTTGAAAACCCTGGAAATGCCATTGCTAAGACTCCAAATTTCAAAATGTCCCTAGATGCGTCGCCCCTCAAGAACTTGTGCCTTTGGTGCGAGTTCCAAAGCCGCCTACTAATCATTATCAGCCTGCTACTTGAAAACGTTTTGACAACCCTGAGTACTGCATATTAATTTAGTATCTAATTATGAACGCAAGAGTCTGTGCGTGAAATCCAATAGTGTGATCATTGAAGTGAAATCTCTTCAGCAGCACTTTCATATGGTTATACAGTCTACTCTCTCATAGTGAACACTTCTCGTAAGCGGCCAAGTCCCGGAGGTTTGAACGGTGTCAAGAGCTATTCGATGTATAAGATTATTGCCAGTTGGCTAAGTTTTAGCTTTTAAGGTAAAAACTTATGTTTATCGGGTCAGTTTGAGCTTGTTCTCTTGATTTTTCCCTTCGAAAACCATCTCCCTTGAGCGACCACTTTGTCTTGCTCCGAGGGTGGTCTCTAACGAGAGAGTTCAGTGACTGTATTTATTTAGTATGTAGTTCTAACTTTTGTGTATGTGGATGAAATCCTGTAGTGTGACCACCTGACCACCTCGATTGACTTCCCTTCGCCGCTTCGAAGACCGTTGCATTGAAACCCTTATTACCCTGCGTGCCACAGACTTTTCATGCGCGGCTTCTGTTTTTTGGGGCTTCGAGCCACGAAGGCCGACCCCGAGAGAACTCCGCCGCACTCGATCGCCGTACACGTGTAAAACGTGCCGGTACCAAGGTTACCATTCACAAAAACAAATTAACATTTTATTATTCCTAGGAACGTTTAATTCACCTTTCTCCACATCACACGTGTATCCTCCAGGACAGCAATGTTTATCGTCACTACAGCAAACGGCGTGCGAGACTGGACAACAGCCATACAATCCAGAATGCAGCTTGCAACATGTGCTTCCATTGGCACATTCGTGCTTTTTGTCGGGACAAAGTACGGAGCCTGAAGAGTCGGAAACTGGTCGAGCTGGTGATTTCACCAAGGTAATCATTTTTTGCACAAGCCCACTGCTACTATCCTGACACGTACCATTAGAGGTACATGTAGATCCCATAGGGCAGCAGTGCACCTTGTCGCTACAACATACGGCTTGGTCTAAATGACAGCAGGAATAGCCCCCAGAAATATCCCTACAGCAAGTGTAGCCGTTAGGACACTCAGTCTCACCATCATTACAAAACACAGTTTTCACGTCATAACTGACTCTCTTTGAAGGTTGAACTACTAGGTGGCCAGTGACATCTTTGTCTCCTTTGGTGCAAGTTCCTAATGCAACATCACAGGTGTACCCGTTTGGACAGCAATGCTCACCATCGCTACAGCATACAGCTTTTGGTAAAGGACAACAACCCCACTGGCCTGAAGATAGTTTACAACATGTGTTGTCATCTGGGCACTGTGATTCATCATCAGGGCACATAACAGTATCCACTATTGTTATTTTCTTAATTACTGGAATCTTCGTTAACATTCCTATTCTCGTCTTGCTTCCTTTATTACAAGTTCCAGCTTCAACATCACAGGTATATCCGTTTGGGCAGCAATGCTCTCCATCGCTACAGCAAACAGCTTTTGGTAGAGGACAACAACCCCACTGGCCTGAAGACAGTTTGCAACATGTGTTGCCATCTGGACACTCTGATTGACCATCAGGACAAACAACATTATTCGCTTTGGTTATTCTCTTAAATGCTGGGATCTTTTTTGACATTTGTATTACAGTCTTGTCTCCTTTAGTACACGTTCCTTCTGCAACATCACAGGTATACCCGTTTGGACAGCAATGCACTCCATCACTACAACAAACAGCTCTTGGCAAAGGACAACAACCCCACTGGCCTGAAGACAGTTTGCAACAAGTGTTGCCATCTGGGCACTGTGATTCACCATCGGGACAAACGACACTATTCGATTTTATTATTCTTTTCAATGCTTGGACCTTTATTGAAACTGGTATAAAAGTTGTGTCTCCTTTGGTGCACGTACCTTGTTCAACATCACAGGTATATCCGTTTGGACAGCAATGCACTCCATCACTACAGCAAACAGCTTGGGGAAGTGGACAACAACCCCACTGACCTGAAGACAGTTTGCAACATGTGCTGCCATCTGGACACTCTGATTGACCATCAGGACAAACAACATTATTCGCTTTGGTTATTCTCTTAAATGCTGGGATCTTTTTTGACATTTGTATTACGGTCTTGTCTCCTTGAGTACACGTTCCTTCTGCAACATCACAGGTATATCCGTTTGGACAACAATGCTCTCCATCGCTACAGCAAACAGCTTTTGGTAGAGGACAACAACCCCACTGGCCTGAAGACAGTTTGCAACATGTGCTGCCATCTGGACACTCTGATTGACCATCAGGACAAACAACATTATTCGCTTTGGTTATTCTCTTAAATGCTTGGATCTTCTTTGACATTTGTATTACAGTCTTGTCTCCTTTAGAACACGTTCCTTCTGCAACATCACAGGTATACCCGTTTGGACAGCAATGCACTCCATCACTACAACAAACAGCTCTTGGCAAAGGACAACAACCCCACTGGCCTGAAGACAGTTTGCAACATGTGTTGTCATCTGGGCACTGTGCTTCACCACCGGGACAAACGACACTATTCGATTTTATTATTCTTTTCAATGCTTGGACCTTTATTGAAACTGGTATAAAAGTTGTGTCTCCTTTGGTGCACGTTCCTTGTTCAACATCACAGGTATATCCGTTTGGACAGCAATGCACTCCATCACTACAGCAAACAGCTTTTGGTAGAGGACAACAACCCCACTGGCCCGAGAATAGTTTGCAACATGTGCTGCCATTTGGACACTCTGATTTACCATCAGGACAAACAACATTATTCGCTTTGATTATTCTCTTCAATGCTGGGATCTTTTTGACATTTGTATTACGGTCTTGTCTCCTTGAGTACACGTTCCTTCTGCAACATCACAGGTATATCCGTTTGGACAACAATGCTCTCCATCGCTACAGCAAACAGCTTTTGGTAGAGGACAACAACCCCACTGTCCTGAAGACAGTTTGCAACATGTGTTGCCATCTGGACACTCTGATTGACCATCAGGACAAACAACATTATTCGCTTTGGTTATTCTCTTAAATGCTGGGATCTTTTTTGACATTTGTATTACGGTCTTGTCTCCTTGAGTACACGTTCCTTCTGCAACATCACAGGTATATCCGTTTGGACAGCAATGCTCTCCATCGCTACAGCAAACAGCTTTTGGTAGAGGACAACAACCCCACTGGCCTGAAGACAGTTTGCAACATGTGTTGCCATCTGGACACTCTGATTGACCATCAGGACAAACAACATTATTCGCTTTGGTTATTCTCTTAAATGCTGGGATCTTTTTTGACATTTGTATTACGGTCTTGTCTCCTTGAGTACACGTTCCTTCTGCAACATCACAGGTATATCCGTTTGGACAACAATGCTCTCCATCGCTACAGCAAACAGCTTTTGGTAGAGGACAACAACCCCACTGGCCTGAAGACAGTTTGCAACATGTGCTGCCATCTGGACACTCTGATTGACCATCAGGACAAATAACATTATTCGCTTTGGTTATTCTCTTAAATGCTTGGATCTTCTTTGACATTTGTATTACAGTCTTGTCTCCTTTAGAACACGTTCCTTCTGCAACATCACAGGTATACCCGTTTGGACAGCAATGCACTCCATCACTACAACAAACAGCTCTTGGCAAAGGACAACAACCCCACTGGCCTGAAGACAGTTTGCAACATGTGTTGCCATCTGGGCACTGTGATTCACCATCGGGACAAACGACACCATTCGATTTTATTATTCTTTTCAATGCTTGGACCTTTATTGAAACTGGTATAAAAGTTGTGTCTCCTTTGGTGCACGTTCCTTGTTCAACATCACAGGTATATCCGTTTGGACAGCAATGCACTCCATCACTACAGCAAACAGCTTGGGGAAGTGGACAACAACCCCACTGACCTGAAGACAGTTTGCAACATGTGCTGCCATCTGGACACTCTGATTGACCATCAGGACAAACAACATTATTCGCTTTGGTTATTCTCTTAAATGCTGGGATCTTTTTTGACATTTGTATTACGGTCTTGTCTCCTTGAGTACACGTTCCTTCTGCAACATCACAGGTATATCCGTTTGGACAACAATGCTCTCCATCGCTACAGCAAACAGCTTTTGGTAGAGGACAACAACCCCACTGGCCTGAAGACAGTTTGCAACATGTGTTGCCATCTGGACACTCTGATTGACCATCAGGACAAACAACATTATTCGCTCTCATTATTCTCTTAAGTGCTTGGATCTTCTTTGACATTTGTATTACAGTCTTGTCTCCTTTAGAACACGTTCCTTCTGCAACATCACAGGTATACCCGTTTGGACAGCAATGCACTCCATCACTACAGCAAACAGCTTTTGGAAGAGGGCAACAACCCCACTGGCCTGAAGGCAATTCGCAACAGGTCATGCCATCTGGGCATTCTGATCGACTATCAGGACAAACAACACTATTCGCTTTGATTATTCTCTTCAATGCTGGGATCTTCTTCGACATTGGTATTGCAGTCTTGTCGCCTTTTGTACACGTTCCTTCTGCAACATCACAGGTATATCCGTTTGGGCAGCAATGCTCTCCATCACTACAGCAAACAGCTTGGGGAAGTGGACAACAACCCCACTGACCTGAAGACAGTTGGCAGCATGTGGTGTCACCTGGACACTCTGAATGACCATCAGGACAAACGACATTATTCACTTGGTGCCTAAAGGTACGAGACTGAAGCTCCTCAGAAAATGTCCTTGTAATCAGTTGCAGGAGTCTTTTCACGCCTTTTATAGAGGTTGTGGGCAGTGTTGTGGAGAGTGCCAGAATGCTGTGAGCCCCTGATGAACAACCCTTCCCGTCGGGGGAGCATGTATATCCTCGAGGGCAGCAATGTTTGTGATCAGCGCAACACACAGCTTCTTCTAATGGACAACACAAGTACCCTTGGTCTGCCTTACAGCAGGTGTACCTAGCAAGTGAAAATAATTCAGTCAGCTTATAAACAGTTTGATGGAAGTTGTAGAAGGCACAAGTGTAATAACTGGACCCAAGTGTAATAAAGGTCCCATCTGTAATATAATTTGGACCTAAGCGTAACAAGGTCCCATCCGAAATAACGTTTTGAGCGCAAGCATAATAAAGCTTCTATCCGTAATATCATTTAGACCCAAGTGTAAAAAAGGCGGTAATGTAGCTTTTAGACCCAAACCGGTAATATGCCAACAACAAATTATGACTAACGAGACTCGTCAAAAGGCGAAGTCACTATATTGTATTGTATGAAAACGAGTAGTTTACTAAAACAGGCAGCCAACTGCCCATTGATCCCAATCCAGAGGCCTCCTGGATTACACTGACACGATCCTAATTTGCGGTCTTAAGTCTACATGAAAACCGTTTTCATGTTAAACGCATTATTTTTTCCATGAGATAAAATATATTCAGTTTTAAGTTTTTTCTCTTGGTATTTTTCTCTAACTTAAAATAATAAAATCTTTTGCATTTGTGACCTATGTTGCTTTCAACGGCACGCACTTTAAACAATGTAAAAATAGATGAAACGATCGATAACATATTTTTTACTGTGATACTAAATTAAATTAATTGAGGTTCAAAATTCGCTCGAGTTTGCCTTTTGTCTCACCGTGACTTCAAACTTTTATTCATGGAAGAAAATCATGCCGCTTTATAACTCCTCCGAAGTTCTGGGCAAGCTAAATAATATGCAAGGCTGTGCTCTAAGGAAAATTGAAGGGAGCCCAGTGCCCTGAAACTGTAAAATCTAGGGTGCCCAGCATATGATTTGTATGAAACATCTAAGATTTTCTAGTCGCCCGAGAGCAAAAGTTAGGCGCCGGGGCCACCGGGCTCTGCTAGAGCACAGCCCTGATATGGAAACACTATTTAGAGTCATTGGATAATAAAAAGACTGAACGAAACGCACCATGTACCCTCGTTTACTTCTGATCACATGTGCGCGAACTCTCTCTTTGTAAGCGATTCATCTCAATGCACAATAAAAAGGAGGTTTAAAGGCTTGTTTTTAGTGGAAAGTGCACTTAGCTTATTTAGCTAGTTTACAGGCACTCTACTCAGATACTTAGAAACAAATAATTCAAATATAACATAACAGGATTAAAAACCCCAACTGGCAGGAGGCAACCAGTTGGTTATTTATAAGCGTGATCAAACATTTGGACTCGGGAAACCGAGAAAAAATCCAGCAAGTGGCCGGAGCGGGAGTTGAACCCGGGACCCCCGGATTGCGAGTCCGATGCGCTGATCTCTCGGCCACGATACGTCCTTAGCTCCATGACCCTTACATTAATGAAAACCTATGGTTCATTGCTGCGGGGCATCAGCCGGCAGCAGACCATATTCTTCAGCGATATGAGATTTTTGGTTCAATGGTTCGATGTTCAATCAATCTGTGACTGCAGCGCTGTGCAGTCAGCGGTTTGTTTAAGCAAGTGCGTAGCTGCCGCGCATGTGCGTCTTAGGAGTAACCCGCCATTTTGTTTTGTTACCGGTATGTAAATAAGATCAGGACGCCAGAAATCGTAGTCCATCGGATGTTTGCTGCCTTTTAACATCCTAAACGGTAAGAACAGTTCAAGAAGCATTGTACGGAACATTTTTTTTCCCAGTTTATTTTTTTTATTCTAGGTTTCCAGATTAGTTATAGCGAGTACATTATTCTTTTGTCACACAGACTGTTATCTCGGGAATCAGGATTGTAAGTTAAATAAGTGAACGGCACGTGCTGTACGTCTACCTGACCCGCGAATAAACAAGTTTAGGCCTTTACGTTATTTGGTCTCAACTCTTCTCGTTAAGTGTGCGATGATTATTCGATGACGAAACCGCCTATCAGCACTGCTGTTGTTTAAGAATTTAGTGAATTATTAAAATGAATTACAAAATCATATTGAAATGAGTTATCTGAATGTAAGCATATTTGTCATTGTGATCGGTTCATTTTTTATATTTCGCTCTGAGTGTTTCATAATTCCAACAAGTCTAACTTAAAAATTCATATGTTCAACTGTTCTACATACTGCCTTTGTCCTATTCGCAACGCAACTAATGGCAGTACTTCCCTTCTCAAATGAGAACTTCTAGTTCATATTAATACTGTTTTTGCCCCTCACATTTACTGTGTCCGTTCGAATTCAAAATACCTTTAGGAAAGTAAAGGCCGTGTAAGTCATGTGTATTATGTTAAGAGATAAATCGATCTATAGGCTTTTTTAAATTTCCTTTTTGCGGTGGCTTTAGCAGTCCCCATCACCATAAAATGGTACCAAGAACATCACGCGGGCTGAAAAATTTTCAAGGCTTTTTTGAAACTCGCTAATGGTGACATCAATATATCGCGCTTGCTGAATGGGCGAAAACACAGAATTTAGGAGAGGCATAACAAATGATAACAAGATCATGTACAAATTTAATGATAGAAGCTTAGCAAGATACAGATACAAACAAAACCAAAACCCCTCAACTAGACTAGAGTTGTATGATCTACTTAGTCACCAAACCTTGTCAGTAATCTATTTTCCTCAAGATGGTCTTTGTGAAGCTCCCGGATCGGACGTCCCGGTGAAGTTTTGAACACGTGTGCGAAATTCTCAAAGTTCCTATTTTTGACCATGTGTCTTCTTTATCCTCAGTATCCGAAATTTAGACCTCCAATCTGGCGTGTGTTGCATTAAATAGAAGGAAATATCAAAATAAAAAGCCAGTCTTCCGACAAAGCAAAGTTGCCCCGTCCCTACGCTCGTGGACGTCCATTTCTTAACATCAGGACTTATCTGACATTCATCGGTAACGGAATTGTTCGCTTCATTACAACAGCTTACAATCAAGTCTTCAGCTACAGTGCAGCAACTGGTAAAATACGTTGCCCATAAATGGTGCTTATTAATTGCTCATGCACTGCAAAGATCGATAGTTCTCTCTTTGAGTTCACGAAACGGCCCCTGCGTTCCAAAACTGACGCTCAGAGTCATCTTTTAGTGTGAGCCTACCGTAAACGGCGTGCGGGTTTGTATGTAACGTGACCATTTCTTCGAGTTTCCCAGCGCCAACATATCAACTGACTTAAACACGAACAATGACAAAACTCGTAAAGTGACTCCTATGATCGAATCGCTTCGAACAACGTAAATGGCCTTCTTGACTCGCAACGCCTTCTGTATTTCTGGGAGAGCGGAGGAGAGGTACCAAAAATATTCGTGCGAGGGAAAATCGTATGAAACCACTTCTGAAAACATCGTTCTCGGTACCAGACCCTCGTGTCTTCCCTCCTCCGTGAGACCGTTTTTCTACACAGACAACCGAAAACGGAATTTATAACTGAGCGGCCCTGAAAGGAGCAGCCCAGTAATAAGAGATAAACACATACACACATAGTAGTGTAGCTAGACAGGCATTAGCTTAACGGCACAGACTGCCACTGCCACCTAGAAATTTCAACCAAAGAAAATTTGTTCTCGGGTACTGCTTTACTATGCTGTTACGAGAGTGATTTTTGTTGTTTCAATGTTAAACTTCAACTTTTCGATTCCGATTTCGGGAAATTCTCAATTGCTTATAATTTGTAGTTAACAAAGGCATGTGTTCTCTACAGAGTGCATCGATCCGTGGCAATGGTGCACTAGCGGTGCAAAAGTGAAAGTAAACGAAAGCTTAAAACATGTTCAAACCAACAATGCACGCGCAAACGCAATGAGATACGCATGTTTATAACTGAAAAAGCTAAAACACAAGAACTCAACGAGAAGAAAGACGAAGAAAAAAAACATGTGTTATATTTAGGCCACTAAAAATTATAGTCTCTTGTCTTAAACAAGGTGCATTCACTTAACTGAATATATTTTTCCTCAAACAGGGTCAGAGTTTGAAGAGCTTGGTGGCACGCTCCGATTAATACTTCCCTTCAGTACACCCCCGGAAATCTTTTAGTTCCCGCCCAAATATGATCAATTGGAACTGATCAAAAGTTAAGTCAATTTACAAGTCGAAAGTCAATTGTTATTAAAGGGAACATGATCCTCGCAGTTGAATGAAAAACCTAGGTGGTTGAAAATGAAAAAAAAAAAAAAAAAATTCAGGCTTGAGCAGGAATTGAACCCTGGCCGTAACGCTCTATCCAGTGAGCTACTCGAGCCTATTGGAGACCAGGGGCCCGTTTCTCGAAAGTCCAGGTAACTTTTCGGGCCGGAAATCAAATGTTCAAATCGAAATATAAAGAAGAAGAGCGCGGGTCCTGGCTAGCAAACTACTCCATTTTGTTTCATTAACTGATAGTTTTATCATGCTAGCTGCAAAACTATTGAAACCTCGATCTTTAATGTAAACGGCAACACCTTACCGGGCCCGTTATTTATCGGGACTTTCGAGAAACGGGTCCCAGGCCATTGTGAGTTCATAACACTGGTGGAAATGACATATGAATTGCAATATGAAATTAATCATACTTTTGAACTAAGGAATCCATAAAGATATGATATAAACGTGTCAAAGTTCGTGTCTTTATCCACAGTTCAAAAATTCATGTGTAAAGTCAATTTTTGTCGCATGTCATTAGCAGTACTGGTTGATGTTATTGTAATAACAATAATACTGGGCTAACCAGTAATTGTGAATGCTATTAAAGTCTTATTTATTTATTTATTTATTTATTTATAACAATCATATTTGTA